TTGACCATGACAGTCTACAATCCAGGGTTACTCCAAGCAGTTTAGTCACCTCAACTTGCTCAATTCCACATGATTTATTACGAGATGTAGTTGAGGTTTAGGGTTTAGTGAATGATTTCACCCAAATATTCAGGACTAACTTATTCCTTGCCACCCATTCCGAAACTAACTGCAACTCTTTGTTAAGTGTTGCAGTTATTTCAGTTGCTGTAGTAGCTGACGTGTATAGTGTTGAGTCATCTGCATACATAGACACACTGGCTTTACTCAAAGCCAGTGGCATGTGTTTAGTGAAGATGGAAAAAAGCAAGGGGCCTAGACAGCTGCCCTGGGGAATTCCTGATTCTACCTGGATTATGTTTGAGAGGCTTCCATTAAAGAACACCCTCTGTGTTCTTTTAGACAAGTAACTCTTTATCCACATTATAGCAGGGGGTGTAAAGCCATAACACATACGTTTTTCCAGCAGCAGACTACGATCGATAATGTAAAAAGCCGCACTGAAGTCTAACAAAACAGCCCCCACAATCTTTTTATCATCAATTTCTCTCAGCTAATCATCAGTCATTTGTGTAAGTGCTGTGCTTGTTGAATGTCCTTTTCTATAAGCATGCTGAAAGTTTGTTGTCAATTTGTTTACAATAAAATAGCATTGTATCTGGTCAAACACAACTTTTTCCAATAGTTTACTAAGGGTTGGTAACAGGCTAATTGATCGGCTGTTTGAGACAGTAAAGGGGGCTTTACTATTCTTAGGTAGCGGAATGACTTTGCCTGGGGGCACACACATTCTAGTAGACTTAAATTGAAAATATGGCAAATAGGAGTGGCAATATCGTCCGCTATTATTGTTGTCAGACCCCGGTGGCTTGTCATTGTTAATAGACAACAATAATTTGTTCACCTCTTCCACACTCACTTTACGGAATTCAAAATTACATTGCTTGTCTTTCATAATTTGGTCAGATATACTTGGATGTGTAGTGTCAGCAATTGTTGCTGGCATGTCATGCCTAAGTTTGCTAATCATGCCAATGAAAAAAGTATTAAAGTAGTTGGCAATATCAGTTGGTTTTGTGATAAATGAGCCATCTGATTCAATGAATGATGGAGCTGTTTGCCCTTTTCCCCAAAATGTCATTGAAGGCGCTCCAAAGCTTTTTACTATAATTCTTTATGTAATTGATCCTTGTTTCATAGTGTTGTTTCTTCTTCTTTTTATTCAGTTAAGTCACATGATTTCTCAATTTGCAATACGTTTGCCAATCGGTTGTGCAGCCAGACTTATTTGCCATTCCTTTTGCCTCCTCCCTCTCAACCATACCATTTTTCAATTCCTCATCAATCCACTGGGATTTAACAGTTTTTACAGTCATTTTCTTAATGGGTGCATGCTTATTAGTAACTGGAATAAGCTATTTCATAAATGTGTCAAGTGCAGTGTCTGTTTGCTCCTCATTACACACCACGGACCAACATATATTCTTTACATCAACAACATAGGAATCACTACAAAACTTATTGTATGACCTCTTATACACAATATTAGGCCCAGCCTTTGGAACTTTGGTTTTCCAAGATATGGCTACTATATTGGGATCACTACATCCAATGGATTTGGATTCTGCTTTCAAACAAATCTCTGCAGCATTATTAAATTATTATTAAATTCCTGTACTGTTTGTAACCACCCTGGTAGGTTGACTGATAACCTGAACCAGGTTGCAGGCACTGGTTACAGTTTGAAGCTTTCTCTTAAGTGGGCAGTCTGATCCCAGTCAATATTTAAATCACCCAGAAAGTATACCTCTCTATTGATATCACATACATTATCAAGCATTATACACATGTTATCCAGATACTGACTGTTAGCACTTGGTGGTCTATAGCAGCTTCCCACCATAATTGGCTTTAGGTGAGGCAGATGAATCTGTAGCCATATTACCTCAACAGTATTTAACATGAGATCCTCTCTAATCTTCACAGGAATGTGGTTCTGTATATAACCAGCAACACCTCCACCATTGGCATATCTATCTTTTCTGTAAATGTTATAACCTTGTATTGCTACCACTGTATCATCAAAGGTATTATCTAAGTGAGTTTGAGAGAGTCAGAATATGAATGTAATTTGTTACTAGCAAATTATTGATTTCATGATCCTTGTTTCTTAAGCTACATATGTTAACGTGGGCTATTTTGAGCACTTTTCTTCTGGGATGCATACTTGTTTTTATTGCTTTACTGGGAAGCTTAGCAGCAGTAGATGTGCTCATATTTAAATTTACATTTAAGTCATTTAGCAGACGCTCTTATCCAGAGCGACTCATATGAGATAGATAAGTGCGAAGGAAGGGGTGTATTGTTGTGACCTTAACCTAAGAACAACCTCATCAAGAGGTTTGGAACTTGTCATAACGGCTAAGGTATTGGGTTCACATTGGACTGAGATTAAAGTCCCGGTTAGGGCTATCCCTGAATTCACTGCAGTGTCTGAAGTCATATCGGTACGTCAGTAGTTTAAATTGCAAGCTGCAGGAATACTTTTTTAAGCAGGAAATTCTTCGGATTTGAATCAGAGACGTGATTCTTTGGCTTAGCTGCCTTACATTGTTTTGAATAAGAAAAGGACTATTTAGTTCAAAGATTGGCAGGAAAACTAATTTGGAACGGCAACATCAAAATATTTCAGAAAATGGATAACCACACAATTAATTCATATTATGATATGTTGGAACCTTTATTAAAAATTGTATAAACTGCTAGTTTACTCATATAAAACAATGCATAATCTACTCAAGCTCATTGTCATGAATGTCAAGTGTACAGCACTTAATTATAAAAAAGAAAATGTGATATCTCCCACCTCATGGCTGTTTAATCAGCAATCAGTTGTTTACTCACAATATTATCTTGTGCCTGAGTGCAGGCTTTGAACGTGGTAAAAAATATAAATAATCTGTTGGAATAGGTCAGCTGAATAGCACAATTCTTTGCATGTTCTCAGTTTGTTTTGAATAAGAAGGTCATTACTTTACTAAAAGTATGCATAGAACATATGTGACTTCTATTAGCAAACAAATGGCACCACATGCTAGGTGACAGCTAGCCACGGTGCAAGAAGGAACTGTCTGGCTCAAGAAGGCAATGTGTTTATAAGGAATACTGTACATAGTGCATATAGCACCAAACCACAGACCAAGACAAGGGTGCATCACATTGTGAGCATACTGAACATAATTCATGTTTTCAACAATGCCTCTTTACTCTTGTAGCTCAAAGACATAACCAAAGATAAACATTTGAAAGACAAGGTAAATTAGTCCCCAAATCACACATTGAGCTTTTGTGCAATCGTTCTGGTTTAGAAATGTTCAAATGTCTCTATAGTAAAAAATATAGATTTGTATATTTACAGTGCCTTCGGAAAGTATTCAGACCCCTTCACTTTTTCCACATTTTGTTATGTTACAGCCTTATTCTAAAATTGATTAAATAAAATTTCCTCAGCAATGTACACAAAATACCCCATAATGACAAAGTGAAAACAGGTTTTTAGACATTTCTGCAAATGTATAAAAATAAATAAAAATAAAACAGAAATACCTTATTTACATAAATATTCAGACCCTTTGCTATGAGACTTGAAATTGAGCTCAGGCGCATCCTGTTTCCATTGATCATCCTTGAGATGTTTCTACAATATGATTGGAGTCCACCTGTGGTAAATTAAATTGATTGGACATGATTTGGAAAGGCACACACTTGTCTATATAAAGGTCCCACAGTTGACAGTGCATGTCAGAGCAAAAACCAAGCTATGAGGTCAAAGGAATTGTCCGTAGAGCTCCGAGACAGGATAGTATCGAGGCATAGATCTGGGGAAGGGTACCAAGACATTTCTGCAGCATTGAAGGTCCCCAAGAACAAAGTGGCCTCAATCATTCTTAAATGGAAGAAGTTTGGAACCACCAAGACTCTTCCTAGAGCTGGCTGCCCGGCCAAACTGAGCAATCGGGGGAGAAGGGCCTTGGTCAGGGAGGTGACCAAGAACCCGATGGTCACTCTGACAGAGCTCTAGAGTTCCTCTGTGGAGATGAGAGAACCTTCCAGAAGGACAACCATCTCTGCAGCACTCCACCAATTAGGCCTTTATGGTAGAGTGGCCAGACGGAAGCCCCTCTTCAGTAAAAAGCACGACAGCCCGCTTGGAGTTTGCCAAAAGGCACCTAAAGACTCTCAGACCATGAGAAGCAAGATTCTCTGGTCTGATGAAACCAAGATTGAACTCGTTGGCCTGAATGCCAAGCGTCACGTCTGGAGGAAATCTGGCACCATCCCTACGGTGAAACATGGTGGTGGCAGCATCATGCTGTGGGGATGTTTTGCAGCGGCAGGGACTGGGAGACTAGTCAGGATCGAGGCAAAGATGAACGGAGCAAATTACAGAGAGATCCTTGATGAAAACCTGCTCCAGAGCGCTCAGGACCTCAGCCTGGGACGAAGGTTCACCTTCCAACAGGACAACGACCATAACCACACAGCCAAGACAACGCAGGAGTGGTCTCTGAATGTCCTTGAGTGGCCCAGCCAGAGCCCGGACTTGAACCCGATCGAACATCTCTGGAGAGACCTGAAAATAGCTGTGCAGCAACGCTCCCCATCCAACCTGACAGAGCTTGAGAGGATCTGCAGAGAAGAATGGGAGAAACTCCCCAAATACAGGTGTTCCAAGCTTGTAGTGTCATACCCAAGAAGACTCAAGGCTGTAATCACTGCAAAAGGTGCTTCAACAAAGTGAATACTTATGTAAATGTGATATCAGTTCTTTATACTTAATAAATTAGCAAAAATGTCTAAAAACCAGTTTTTGCTTTGTCATTATGGGGTATTGTGTGTAGATTGATGAGGGGAAAAAACCCTTTAATCCATTTTAGAATATGGCTGTAACCTAACAAAGTGGAAAAAGTCAAGGGGTCTGAATACTTTCCGAAGGCACTGATAGATACTTTAACGATCTTTTATTAAGAAAATATGTATAGTTCATGTAAATGTTGTGCTGCTCTGAGTTCATGTAGTGTAATAGGTACAATAATTTAAAGCAAAAACGACAAAACAATGAAACAAGAAGAGTACACATTGAAATACAAACATAAAGAAAGTAAACATAAGAAATAAGTATGGTGAACTTGAGAAACTGTTAACCTTTTCAGATTAAAATGTCACTGCACAGAGATCGATTTCACTCAGTTTCCATACAGAGGAAGGTATGGATATACTGTCTGTTCACACATACAAGACAAAAAGTCAGAGGCACAAGTTCAATGAAAAAGTCTTAGAGTTTTAAGTCCGTAAGCTATGATCCCACAATGATCTCCATAATGTGGTCAAGTTCATTGAGATCGGCTCTACAGCTGGAGTTGGATGCGGGGCCATGTGAGGAGGCCATGCTGTCCAGAAGGTCGTAAGGCCCCATCTTGGGGGTGCTCTGCAAGCCTGTGAGCATGGTGTCCAAGTCATAATACGAGGCATCAACGTCCGAGAACAGCTCCTCTAGTGCCGGGTCTGACCTGGGGGCGGCATTTCTGATCTCGAACGTCCCGAACACCTTCCCCGTCACCATTTTAGCCCCCTCCCCAGAACTCGCACCCTCCTTGACCTCCGAACCGGAGTCTTCGCTGACCTGGTCCTCCTCCTCCACCATGCTCAGTTCTGCTCTGTCCCAGCAGTGGTCGATGGTCCCCAATAGGAGGGCCGGGGCCCCGTCGCTAACTGCCACAGAACACAGAGACTCGTCCGTTAACACTTCTTCCTCGCGGCAGCCATCGTAGCCCATCACCGAGTAGAGCTTGGGCCCACCGTCCTGCTGCTCCGGCGCCGACAACCGGCACAAAACCTCGGTGGCTACCAGGCGGTCGGATGGGCCGGAGCCGCCGAAGTCCTCGGTGACCACCTGCCAACTACCGTCATGGGTCATCTCCTCCTGGATCTGGCGCACTGTGTTGGCAATGAGCACCGAGCGGCACAGGTTGGGCTCCACCAGCATGTGGCACAGCTGCAGCTTGATCAGAGACATGTCCAGCAGGGACTGGCGCTGCCGGCTGTACGACGCCGCTACCGCCTTGTCGTCCGTCGCCACGTCCACACCGTCAGAGAACTTGCGTTTGGTGCCCCTGGAGTACATGTTGGCCCTGTGGGGGGAGCCAAATAGGATTTTAGTTAGAACATACAAAGCTTTTTAAGAAGTAGCCTTTTCCATTCACTTGTTTTGCATGTTAAGCATAGTATTTCGGTGTTTTATATTGTTCTGTAAAGATGTCAAAAGTCCTATTTACTTATTGTAATAATATTTCTTAATAAAACATACTAGAATATCAGGATTATGATTTCAAAAGGTTGTGTGCACCTGAAAATCAAAGATATTATGAATAATGTACTTGTGTTCATTTACTTTTCTTCACCTTTCCTACGTCGACGCACAGGCATATACACGAGGCGGCTTCCTCTTTTGCTCATCGCTTCAGTACGTTACTGAACAACTATCTCTCGAAAACTCTAGGCGGCATTCTGCCTTCTCCCTACAGTTTTCAGCCATTAGCTTCACCCACTACAATCCCAACGCTGTGTTTTAACATTTAGAAACATCAATAATCATCACTTGCGATATGGCTTTCGAAACATATGGCCCTTATCTTTCATCAGCGAGAAAGAATCCTTCAAATAAAAAAATATAGACTTACTGAAGCAGTTTTGCACAGATCCATACAGCTATGGCTGCCTCCATTCCACCAAACTACACTTCCGCTACACTTCCCGAGTTACCCTTACACATACAGTGGGGAGAACAAGTATTTGATACACTGCCGATTTTGCAGGTTTTCCTACTTACAAAGCATGTAGAGGTCTGTAATTTTTATCATAGGTACACTTCAACTGTGAGAGACGGAATCTAAAACAAAAATCCAGAAAATCACATTGTATGATTTTTAAGTAATTAATTTGCATTTTATTGCATGACATAAGTATTTGATCACCTACCAACCAGTAAGAATTCTGGCTCTCACATATCTGTTAGTTTTTCTTTAAGAAGCCCTCTTGTTCTCCACTCATTACCTGTATTAACTGCACCTGTTTGAACTTGTTACCTGTATAAAAGACACCTGTCCACACACTCAATCAAACAGACTCCAACCTCTCCACAATGGCCAAGACCAGAGAGCTGTGTAAGGACATCAGGGATAAAATTGTAGACCTGCACAAGGCTGGGATGGGCTACAGGACAATAGGCGAGCAGCTTGGTGAGAAGGCAACAACTGTTGGCGCAATTATTAGAAAATGGAAGAAGTTCAAAATGACGGTCAATCACCCTCGGTCTGGGGCTCCATGCAAGATCTCACCTCGTGGGGCATCAATGATCATGAGGAAGGTGAGGGATCAGCCCAGAACTACACGGCAGGATCTGGTCAATGACCTAAAGAGAGCTGGGACCACAGTCTCAAAGAAAACCATTAGTAACACACTACGCCGTCATGGATAAAAATCCTGCAGCACACGCAAGGTCCCCCTGCTCAAGCCAGCGCATGTCCAGGCCCGTCTGAAGTTTGCCAATGACCATCTGGATGATCCAGAGGAGGAATGGGAGAAGGTCATGTGGTCTGATGAGACAAAAATAGAGCTTTTTGGTCTAAACTCCACTCGCTGTGTTTGGAGGAAGAAGAAGGATGAGTACAACCCCAAGAACACCATCCCAACCGTGAAGCATGGAGGTGGAAACATCATTCTTTGGGGATGCTTTTCTGCAAAGGGGACAGGACGACTGCACCGTATTGAGGGGAGGATGGATGGGGCCATGTATCGCAAGATCTTGGCCAACAACCTCCTTCCCTCAGTAAGAGCATTGAAGATGGGTCGTAGCTGGGTCTTCCAGCATGACAACGACCCGAAACACACAGCCAGGGCAACTAAGGAGTGGCTCCGTAAGAAGCATCTCAAGGTCCTGGAGTGGCCTAGCCAGTCTCTAGACCTGAACCCAATAGAAAATCTTTGGCGGGAGCTGAAAGTCTGTATTGCCCAGCGACAGCCCCGAAACCTGAAGGATCTGGAAAAGGTCTGTATGGAGGAGTGGGCCAAAATCCCTGCTGCAGTGTGTGCAAACCTGGTTTTCAAATACTTATGTCATGCAATAAAATGCAAATTAAATAGTTAAAAATCATACAATGTGATTTTCTGGATTTTTCGATTCCGTCTCACACAGTTGAAGTGTACCTATTATAAAAATCAGACCTCTACATGCTTTGTAAGTAGGAAAACCTGCAAAATCGGCAGTGTATCAAATACTTGTTCTCCCCACTGTAGGTGTTCGAGCATGCTAGAGAGCTAATTAGCAAAGGTGGTCGCCTCTTGTCTTCCGTCTGTTTTCCGTAAACAAGCGCTGTAACATGGAGATACGGCCGTGTGGGAACACTAACCCTAACATCAATTTAACCTTTAGTTTTTTGAAAATTATTTCTCGCTGATATGAAAGATAAGGTCCTTATGCTTCCAAAACCGTACCGCAAGCGACGCGTGTTCATGTTCAGATTGGGGCTCTTAACAACACTCCTCTGTAAAGAAGACGCCTTCTTCCAATGACTCCTATGTGTAATATAATGGAACTGAGAGTCATGATCAAGGGCTACTGAACAAATGCTTCTGTTCTTAACTCTCTTTCAGGTCTTTTCAGACAGACCTGCAAGGTGCATGCTAAGTGGAACATCCAATTTAGATCACCACACTGATAAAAATATTTAATTTGCTACCAGAATTCTTGTGATTAGAGCACACTCTAGCTCTCCAGTCTTGAAACGGATAGCAAACTCAAGACTTGTTTGTGTGCTACAGTAGAGGGAAAGAAAGAGGAACAATGTCAGTAAGGCATTCGTCTGAACTGATAGGATCTTTGCTGATTATCCAGGCCAACGTCCATTGAGCACATCTTCCAATATTACATTTTAGTAAATGCCGGTTAAGACAAAGGGATTCAAAAATACATTTCTGTTTACAGACAAAACAGAGTGACATCAACTTCCAACCAGAATTATCAAAAAACAGTAAATTAACTATCAAGAGTATATTCCGACCAATGTCAGTATTGGTAAATCATTATCAAAAGTACCTACTGTATTCCTAAAATAAATATGAACACAGACTTGCTTTAGCCATTTGCAAGAAAGGTGAAACATGAAGATGTGGAAATTAGACCTTTGTCAATTCAAGCACAGTGCCTAAAATAGAAAAAGAGAACCCACTCCCGATGCAAGCATTTGTAAAGATACAATCTCAGACACACACTGAAAATGGCTAAACAGCACTTTGTACATACATCCAGTACTGAGACGAGTGTTGGACATTTGCCTCCAGCCACGGCAGCCAGCCAACCAGGGTTGCGGGAGCCTAAAAGTGACAAACATGCAACTAGAGCAGGGAGAACACATGACAGTAACCAGCATGTCAATGCACATTACATCCAATGTCACTGGGTGACACGTGTGTGTGCAGAAGGGGGGAGGAGAAGATGCACTAGAACTCAGCTACTGGGACCAGGTGCTGAGGAACTGTGAAAGGCTATGAGCAGCTACAAATAATGATGCCCGCTTTACCTCCTCAATGCCAAATTGTTTGTGTCACATCGCATTGGGTTAGAACCTAGTTTGGTTGCTCGAGCTTCAGGAAGAGGGAAGGGCAATATGCATCGTTTTGTACACCAAACCAACAAACTGTTAGTTGCAGGCAAAAACTAAGAACCACATACGTAATGCAAAAAAATAATATCATGTTGAAGGGTGGAATTGTTATGCAAATGTTATGATTTGTTTGATAGTCTCAAAGATCACAGGAGAAAATCTTAATTAACAACCGTTAGCTATAAGGATAACATAACATTGAAGGGGGGTTGAAATTAAGGCATGGGAGATTATCCTACCTGACGCAAGAGCAACATCCCAGCACTGTAGAGACATTGACCAGAATGCAAGCCGACACATCCTCTGCAGCATGACTAAAAACTACACCACGTCAGGGGACACACAGCAGCAGGTATGTCACTTTCTTGCTCATTTGCAGTCATTTGAGAAAGTGACATTGTTTTTAGGGCAATGAAGTGAAATTACATTCATGTTCCAAAATGTTGTATTTATGTACTTATTTCCCACACCTCAAATGGTGAAGCAATTTATGAGCATTTCCCATGGTGAATAAACTCCCAGCTACCTCTTGTATGGCAAATCACAACAAAAATATGATTATCCGGTCTTTACAGGACAAATGATGTTCAAATTGCCTACAGTGGATTTGATTTATTTTTTATACTTCATCTTTGTATACAGCATTGCAGTAACAAACGGTGTCTCCTTGTATAAACTAGGGACAGTTGAGTTTACGGTGTTTGCTTTGACAGTGTCATTAAACTTCAAGAGGGCCTTAATGGATTGATGGGCTTGAAAAACGATTGCCTGTATCATGATCTTTTTCATTTTTTTCTTTAAAAAAATAACATCTATTTTAAAAGAAAAAATAACTGCCAACTACAATGAACATCTGTCCCTTTGGCCACATATGATCCTTAAAAAAAAAAAGATTGCAGTTTTGAAACTGCAGTAAAAGTGCAGTAACTGCAGTCAACGGTGGTATTTTGGATGCAGTAATTGCAGAATAACTGCAGTTATACTGCACTCTGACTGCAATCTCTTTTCGTAAGGGATAATTTGACCTCTACACCAGCAGATGTAAATTATAAAACCTAGTAGCCTATCTTCAGTGTTTTCTGGTAACGTTTTTAAAATTCCCACCTTGCCATCCTCCAGGCCCCTTACACTGTCAAAGTGTTGAATAACGTACACATACCGCTATTTCTAACAAACCAACATGCCTCCCTCCTGTGGAAGTTCCACCCATGTAAATGTTACTCCTCCCTTCTCCCCACTGTACTGCCGTGGTCACAAGGCTGCTTCATCACTGGCCAGATGACGAATAGAGCTCTGGCAACATTCTAACATAGCAGTAAAAGAATGATGAATAAACGAGAGTAGGGGTAATAGAACATACATTATTTAAGACACCAATAAAACTTGGTCCACCACGATTAATTACTTTATATCATGTATGTGTTATCCCCTTTAACGTACTTTTCAGACACAAACATAAAAACCTAGAGGGAAAGGGAAGAGACAGAAAGGCAGCCATTTTGAATGGACCTTCTACTCTTGCTAACTTCTGGTCACCGACAGAGCGACTTCGCTATCGAGTAGTTAAAAAATGTATCCTGATAGACCACGTCTGGATGTAACCCATCCAAGTTCTGATTGATTACCAGGATACTTACTGGTAACAGAGGTTACAATGTAACAAATATCTATGGAAAGTTGAGCAATAAATATCGCACGTCAACTTCCTCATGATAACTTGCGTTCGAAATCGACCGCGCATTTGCAACACATTCGGGGGACTTTTATTTTTAAAGAGCAAACTCCTTACACTAAACACACATTTCATTACGTAATGCATATTTCATTGTCTTGGCCTTACCTTGACAAATAACCTTTTTTCGCCGAGGGTTCATGTGCTCTTCGTGAATAAACAAATTAATAGCGCAGCTTCCACCGAAACAGATTGCAGTCGAAGCACTGCTGCCAGGCGTTCCGGCCAGCTGCGGCAGAGGGAAGGGTGTCGTGGGCGGACACATAGGTCTTGATCGACAGGCCGTCGGTTGAACTGGGGAAAACATGAACAAAAGCCACGCTGAAGAAACAGGAGGAGATTCCACACTAGTATTCTGACAGCAGCACAAATTATGAAGTTACGTTTGTATGGTAATGAAGAAACCTTCAAAATAAAAGCCCCCATTTCAAAACACTGCAATGTGGATAACTCAAAAGACAATGCATTTTTGTGCCAACAAGAAAAGGCTATAAGTTATTTATGAAAAATATTGGTTTTCAAAAACATATTTTAAGACCAATAATGGCAGAAAAATATATTTCACCTTTATTTTAACAGGGAAGTCATACTGAGACTAGGGTCTCTTTTACAGATGTGCCATGCATAAATACATCAAACACATACATATACAAAATTACAAAACATATTAAGAACAACAGACACATTTATCAACATAGAGGTCTCCTCATCATTACTCTGAACTGACCAGGAGGTACCAAATCATCTAATGATCTGTAAATTGTTCCACATAAATGGCGCAAATAAAACTAAAAGCAGCTTTACCCAACTCTGTGGAGACCGAAGGGGCCTCCAGTGTTATCCAAGCCTGAGACCGGGATTGGTAATTTCTCATTCTAAATTAAATGAATGATAGATACATAGGAAGTTTCTGCATGAGTGCTTTGTAGATAAACACAAGAAAATGCTGCTCTCTTCTTACATACAAAAAGGCCTACGCAACTCACGTTTTGATACAAAGCACAATGGTGAGCTCTATAACCATCACCAGTATAAACCTAAGGGCACAATGGAAAACAGCATCTAGTGGTTTAAGTGTATATGCTGCTGCATGCATATAGACAGTGGCGATTTTAGCATGGAAATCTTGGTGGGGCAAATATAAAAATTTTTTTGGGGGGAAGCATGTCAGCAAAGCCACAACACAACACTAAACAATCCATTCATTGCACTATAACGATTACAAACGGTGTCCACAAACTGTTAGGGTCTACATAAATCTGTCCCAACAGCAGAGCTTTCTTTTCATCACCATGGACTGAATCCTTGCCACAGCTACACCTGGCTATCAGCGGAGCCTTGTCTGGCAGTGAAACAGTTCATTCAGCTTCATTTGCTGCCTTTTTAAAAACATAGCTGATATGGCTGCCTTGCTTAAACAAATGTGGTTTCTACTGACAATTGAGATGTACAAACTATGGCATAAGGGAACGACGAGCGGATAAGAGACAATCCGTAATTTTGATTAAGACATTAATGAGCGAGCTAGGATGGACATAGTCGATATAACTATTTATTCAGCACTTTTGAAATGTACAGCGACAGAATTCAGAACATGGGCCATTCTTACAGTATTCTCCATGTACACCAAGTCAGAACCGTAGGATAAATAAAGGGGGCATATAAGCAGACAATGAAAGCTCTTACAATATTTGATGATTACATTTCTCTAAAACAGGCTATAGGCTACATGTGCACCATCAAGTCAGAACAGTCGGCTAAGTTATGAGGGAGGAAAGGGACCAAATTATTAGGGTGAGGCACATGGGATACTAACATCTTACTACACAATATACACTTAGTATTACTTTCTTGGCTACAGTCTACATATCTCCCTGGCATATTACATCATTTATGCAGCAGCATACAATACATTTTTGGACTCACCTTGTTGTGCTGTGCTCACTCGAACAGGAAGGTGGCGCGGCTGTCCTTCTTGTGGGCTCTAGAAAGAGGCCCGAAATCCCGACTTGGAATTCCGAGTTGGATGACCGTTCAAAATTATTTTCTGTAATTTCCCAGTCTGAGCTAGTTTTACCCGAGTTCTCAGTTGTCTTGAACTCACTGAAGTCTGAGATTTCCCAGTTCCGAGTTTCCAGTTATTTTGAATGCGGCAGAAGTCATGCTGGATTGACAGCATGGCCAATGTATTAAAACTTTTCTGGCCCATGGCATAACCCCCTTTTTCATGATATCCAATTGGTAGTTACGATCTTGTCTCATTGCTGCAACTCCCCTACGGACTCGGCAAAGGTCGAGAGCCAAGCCACACTGCTTCTTGACACACTGCTCGCTTAATCCGGAAGCCAGCCGCACCAATGTGTCGGAGGAAACACTGTCGAACTGACGACTGAAGTCAGCTTGCAGGCGCCCGGCCCGCCACAAAGAGTCGCTAGAGCACGATGAGACAAGGACATCCCGGCCGGCCAAAGCCTCCCCTAACACGGACGACGGTAGGCCAATTGTGCGTCGCCTCATGGGTCTCCCGGACACAGCAGGCTGTGACACAGCCTGGGATCGAACCCGGGGCTGCAGTGGCGCCTTAGCACTCATTGTTGAATTCGCGATTTCCAACTGGTTGTGTAATGTTTTTGTCCAATGGCCGATGAGCAACTAAATGTTTTATCAATAATTTCTCTTCATATGACAAGGATTGAAAAGGATTTAAAAGGATTTGCCAGTAGATTGCCAACTTGATGCATGATGATGTCTGCTTGTCTAGCTTGGTAGCTAAGATTTTGAAAGTATGATGTTGACATGATCAGTCCAATCAAAGCTACGGTAGATATAACGTGATTTGACGTCATTTTATCTGTGGCCAATGACCTTGAGGCTTCTTGGATGGACACTTCTGATGTAAGTCTATGGCAGCACCCAAGGGGCTTGAATTTTCTAGCCCTACCCGTAGATTTTGCAGTGATGTAGTTTCCCCATGAGTGACAGAACACTGAGCCAATCACGGTGCAACTAGAGAACATTACCAACCCCTACGCTCCGTATTTTCAGCTGGCTGCCCCACCACCACAGAAAGCACTGAGCTAGACTGAAACACCAGCATATTGAGCTGACTTACTAAAGAAAGCAATAAAGAGACCATGTTTGTATGCAGCTTTATTATCTCAATTATATATTTTTTCAAATTGTTTACAAACTGATATGTGATGCGTATTAATGCCAAAATAACATGCAAAACAGGCAAAAAATAAGAATATATATATATATACAGTGCATTCGGAAAAGTATTCAGACCCCTTCACTTTTTCCACATTTTGTTAAATTACAGCTGAGCCCGGTGAACCATGAGGCTAGCTAACCCACTACCTGGACCAATAAAGCTAGCTAGCTAGCGGGTAGCTACTGGTAACTATTAGCAACTGTGGATGGTTATTTCCAATGTTATTTCATGCTTAAGAGTACCTGTAATTATGCCAGCTAGCTACCTACCATTAAGCTGTTTTTCTAACCTCATTATCTGAAGCGTTAACGTTAGGTAGTTAGTAGCTACTGTACTCGAAATGTAGCTAGCTTGTTGCTACCTGGATAGCTAACTAAACAATAGCTGGAACGACCTAGCTGTAATGTTTGGAGACGCTTTCTCTCCGTTGGGACAGACGCAAACTGGCTGAATCGATTCAGTAGCTAGCTTTACACTTAACTAGCTAACAGTAGCTGCTAAGGGTAAGTTATAACCTACATTTATTTGTATTTTATTTTTACGTACTGGTAACCAGAGTCGTTCAAAAGGAATTCAAGACATGGGTGACTAGTTAACGTTAGCTTGGCTCTCTCTGTGTGTTTCATACCGTGGCAGGAGGGGTTGGTTCGTTGACAGAGAGCAATGGCTAGCTAATATGCTAACTATTCTAGCTAGCTAACTGGCTGAATAAGTTGACGACGTACTCACTCAAACTGTCAAAACTAACCCCAAAACTTTACATAACGTTAGACACGGAAACAAATGATCTGTTTAGCGTGTTAACACACTATTGGTAGTTTGTTGTAACCGAGTATTGGTGCTAAACCGTGTTATTGGAAGCTAGCATGCTAGTTAACTATGGCGTCATAGGATACGGTGCCCTGGGCGGTTTTTCACGGAAGAATACTGTACCAAGTTAGCTAGCTGAATAAACTAAGTTAGAGTCTATTCCTAGAAAACATTGAACCGCTGTAGTTTACAACAATTATAATTTCTAAAGTGGAAGTTGGGAGAGTTATATTTGAGTGTTTCAGTGAAACGTAAGTGAGGGAGGCCCCGCTCTCTCGCTTTCCCAGATGTTTAGTTCATTTCATTCCGATCTCCTTTAAATTATTGTAGCCTTTTCTGTAGCCTGTCAACTATGTGTCTGTCCATCCCTGTTCTCTCCTCTCTGCACAGGCCATACAAACGCTTCACACCGTGTGGCTGCTGCCACTCTAATCTGGTGGTCCCTGCGCGCACGACCCACGTGGAGTTCCAGGTCTCCGGCAGCCTCTGGAACTGCCGTTCTGCGGCCAACAAGGCAGAGTTCATCTCAGCCTATGCTACCCTCCAGTCCCTCGACTTCTTGGCACTGACGGAAACATGGATTACCACAGAAAACACTGCTACTCCTACTGCTCTTTCCTCGTCTGATCATGTGTTCTCGCATACCCCGAGAGCATCTGGTCAGCGCGGTGGTGGCACAGGAATCCTCATCTCAAGTGGACATTCTCTCTTTCCCCCCTGACCCATCTGTCTATCTCCTCATTTGAATTCCATGCTATCACAGTCACTAGCCCATTTATCAAGGCGTCAAGCTCATTGATGAACTCTCCAAGGGAACCTGGAGGGCGATAAATGATAAGCTTAACATCCTTATCATTTATCGCCCTCCAGGTTCCCTTGGAGAGTTCATCAATGAGCTTGACGCCTTGATAAGTTCCTTTCCTGAGGATGACTCACCCCTCACAGTTCTGGGTGACTTTAACCTCCCTACATCTGACTTTGACTAATTTCTCTCTGCCTCCTTTCCACTCCTTTCCTCTTTTGACCTCACCCTCTCACCATCCCCCCCTACTCACAAGGCAGGCAATACGCTTGACCTCATCTTTACTAGATGCTGTTCTTCTACTAATCTCACTGCAACTCCCCTCCAAGTCTCAGACCACTACTTTGTATCATTTTCTCTCTCTCTCTCCTCTAACACTACTCACTCTGCCCCTACTCAGATGATAATATGCCGTCGCAACCTTCGCTCTCTCTCTCCCGCTACTCTCTCCTCTTCCATCCTATCATCTCTTCCCTCTGCT